CCTTCCTTCCTTCCTTTCTTTCTTCTTTCTTTTCCTTTCTTTCTTTCTTTCTTCCTTTCTTTCTTCCTCCCTCTCTCCCTCCCGCCCCCTCCTTCCTTCCTTCTTTTTTTACCCAAGTTAATTACAAAGTATGACAGTGAAAATAAAATAAATGAGCCCATTCCACCCTTCCCCATATCTGAATTCTATCATATGAGCTGTCAATTGGTTTTCTAATCCTCTCACTCAATATCTGCTGTTAATTTGTTCGCTATTTCAAGAACTTGAAGACTGTCAGCAAAATACATGATGCATTACCAAACTTATAATTGGAAATAAAAGCATCTGAAGCTTTTCTGACAGGGCAAACATAAAGTACTACTGCACTGATCAGAACAAGGAAACGTGAGCAACCTTGTAGTTATGGGCATGCAAGCACAATTATAAACGCTACAGACTTACTCCCACTTTGAAAAAATGCTGAAAAAAATCACATCTAAATGAATGAATGAACTCAACATGTTTAGAAGAAATGAGGGGAAGAGAGGAGGGGGGAAAAATCATCCTGCTCATACTGCCTCTGAAAATGCAACTCAGTGGGCTTTCTCTCGTTCTTTCAGCCATTTTAGAATTACAGTGCCGAGGCCCGATCTAATTTTCCTGCTGCAGAAGTTAAGGCACTTCCTCCACAGTTACTAAATCTGACAAATTACACCTGGGTCTACTCTAACATGAAAAAGTGTGCTCTTTGTTCCTGACCCCTTGGTCAGTGTAGAGATCAAATTCCTGGACACCAGAAAGCCCCACTCATATTCATTAAAAGCCACGGGAGACCAGCTCTGCATTTCTGTTCAACAGGGGAATGAGGCGCAGGCTATTGCTGAAGAATGCAACTGCTCTGCTCCGCTCGGAGCAATACAGACTTTTTCCTTTCAGCAGTTTGGCGGCTGATCAATTACTACCTGAATGTTTTTTTTTTTTCTACACAGCATCTTAGTACCAAAAGAACAGTTGAAATCAGAAAAAAGGAAGGCTTTAGTCGATGTTTAAAATGCCAAGTCCCACCAGTGAGTTTACTGAAATTTGCTTGCACTAATATGTTGGTTACAGATCAGTAACCAAAAATACAAAGATGATTTTAAAATTCCACCTCCCCTCTACCCTGGCCAGACAAGCAATTATCATAGTGGCTCATATTTGAATTTTGTCTCCTCTTTCTAACCACATTCAGTCTTTGAAAAAGACATTACAGAACTGAGAGCGATCACAAAGAGGAAATCAGGAACCATCTTGGCGGCAGAGTATCCACACGAGGGATCCAAGAAATCCACACGCTTTCCTGTTATGACAGCCAAGTCCAAAGCGGAAGGAACTAACTGCCTGGCAACACAAGATCGTCTTCTTCTGTCTCCCAAAGAAGGAGAGAAAATCATAATAGTTAGATAAGTTAAGAAAAGGTATCACTGAATTGCCACTCCCCAAAATGACAACACATCGTGCCTGATTCCTTTCTTCAAGATTCTTGGAAGAATAAGATGGTGAAGGAACACCATACAGAAGTCGCAGAACCTGCCATTAAGGCTTCCCGAGACACGGGTGTCCCCTGGAACATGTCAACTCTTATCCTCCTTCCAAGAGAGCACTTTTCTTCCAGGACAAGGCATCCCACTTACAACATCTTCAGTGTAGGCCACTGAATTCTCCCAGACCCATCAAACCACATCCAAAGCCTTTTCCTTGGGGTTCTAAGTACCACAGCGCACTCCAACTGTGAACACACATGAACGCTCTGGAATGGTGTAAGTTATTTTCCACACACAAATTCCTGCTAAATTTTAAATTGGGAGATACTACTTTCCCTCCCCTGATCTTTAGGAAGCGTTCAGCTGTGCTACAAGTTATAAACATGTAAAGAATACAGACTAACATTCCTTTTCTATAGTGAAACCAACTCACAATCCACAGTTTTCTAAATACATGAGTTATAGCTATCTTCCTGGTCAGATGGCAATTACTTTTGAGAAACCTATGACAGGATGGAAATCCTTAGTATCGAGGTTATTTTGATTTCTATTTTGAAATTAAAACCACTAGCAACAGAAGCAAATCAGAACTTAATATTCCCTCCAAAAAAGTCATTGGAAAAGCATGGAAATCAAACTGAAATCAGTTTACATTACTTTCGGGGTTGCACTAACTAATGGATTACTAAGCAGGCATTCACCTGTGGGTGAATCTCAGAACCTAACTTCTGAAGGAAGAAGAGTGGTAGCTTGGCCCCTGATCAAAATCTTAATAGTGAAAGAGGTTAATAATTGTACATGATATTAAAATAATCAAGCATGCCTGCAAATATGAATATTCTTTGAAGATTCTGACTTTGACGACCATTTAAGTGAGTGGCATATATGCGAGTGACTAGGACAGATCTCAGTGACCCTGTTTTTACCAATGGAGAAGTTCAAGTTAAGTGATTTACCTAGTGTCACCCAATCAGTAGAGGCTGAACTGGGGCCAGAGCCCATCCCATCTGACTCCTAATGCAACAGTCCTCACATGCAGCTAACAAAGGTACAAAGTACAATGGAAACACCACCAACCCCACAATATCAGGAATAGCTAACACTAATGCTTACTTTATGCCAGGAAGTCTTCTTGGCATAGATTAATGCTGTGGATGCATTAACTCATGTTTGCTCCTAACAAACATGTGAGAGGAGTAATGTTGCTATCTCCCACTTTGGAGACGAGAAAACAGACACACGGAGAGGTTCAGAAACTCACCCAGGTCCCAGGGCTGAATAAGCGGGAGGGCTGGGAAAAATCTGCCCTCCCCACAGAAATGCTAAGATAGGCATTCTTAATTCAAAGTTCAGATTATCAGCAGTCCTGGAAATACGAATTTTAACAAAATATCTTGACAGTGATATCTAAACTATGGATGCCTCCAAAATACAGGATGAAACTGGAATTTCCTTTTCGTCAAGCTCTATATTCTTGCTCAAAAGACAAAGCAGCAACAGTTCCAATGGGTGAGACAGATTCCATGTAAAGATCTGCCTCATAGTACAGAAACAGTTCAAACTTTCTAGTTTGAATCTGCTCAGATAATGGAGAAAGTCTGCTGTCATCATTTCAGCAACCTTCAATCCAGGGATCTCAGAACATCCTGCTTGCTCAGGAAGAGCCTTCAGTCTTTTGTGCCCTTCGAAGGTTTTTCAAAAATCATCTGAAGTTATTGAAAATAATGACCGTGACTCCATGTAGAGCTTCTCTGCCAATCAGAGTTCATTTCTCAACTACGAGACAGTCACTAAGAAGTGGAATGGAAAGCTGGGAAAGCTCTTTCTCCTGCCCTTTCTCCACAAATGCTAATATCAACATCCCACGCTACCCTGAGATCCATTTTCAGATTCGTGTTTGAGAAGACTAATTTCTGCTGTGTATTCTCTTTGCCCTTAACCGCCCCCCTCTCACATATAAAAAAATTGATGGATGTACATTAATAAAGATGGATATAACCCCTGCAGATTATAACCACCAGTTACCACACCACTGCCACCACCACCTATGCCCTATCCTGTACCTTCTCATCAGGCTCCAATTACGATGCTGCCATTTAGTTTCTGTGTGATTCTTGAGCAGTGACTTAACCTTTCTGTGCCCGAGTTTTTTCATCTGCCAAATGAGGATCATAATCGTGCCCATTTCTTAAAGGTATTTGAAAGAAAATGAGATAATAGATATAAAGGACATAGAATAGTGCCTAGCATAGAGTAAGGACTCAGTTACGAGTTCACAATCATTGTCAGGTTGATTTTAAACACAAATATACTTCCTGCATCCACTGGATACCAACTAGTAAAGCTAGAAAAATAAATTTACAGGAATTATCTCAATTTTCTATTCTATAGAGGACAAACCAAACTGTTGAGTGGGGTGGCCAATCTGAATTTACTCTGTGCTCTTTCAGCTTTCTCTGCAACTCCTAGCGCAGAACTGAGATCCTTTTCCAGGTTGGGAGAGTAAAAGTTAATTCTGCTGCTCTGTATATGCATAGAGCTCTCAAAAAGTAAAGAGATAAGTAAATAAAAATCCAAGACTCCTTTGATATTGATCTTCTAACACTCCCATTTTAAAGATGAAAAAAACTGGCTCTGGAGGCTCAAGTTCATAGAAACACTTAATGACAGAGCTGAGACCAGAAACCATGAATTAAGCAAACCACCAGGTACTCTTTAAAATCCAAATGTCACCCAATTCAATCCTCATAATAGCCCTCTAAAAGTAAGTATTATTTCCACCCTCTTAGAGATGCGGAAACTGAGGCTCATCCTCTGTGAATTAACTTCTTCAAAACCAGACGGCTGACAACAGAGATAGCCAAGATCAAAATGCTTCTTGTCTGACCCCAAAGACTATGCCCCTGCTTTAAGTTTTCTAGAGCTCAGTGCTGGAGTTCTCAGCACTGAGCTCTCAACGTGTGACTTCCAAACTGTGCATCAGCCTCGTCTAGGGAGCTTGGAAAAATACAGATTCCTGGGCTCCAGCTCAGGAAGGAGCATGAGCTGGGGGATAGGGCTTCAAAATCTGTATTTCTTCAGAGTTGGTCAGGTGGTTTTGATGTGTAGCAAGATTCGTGAAACCTGAACCTAAGCAAGGTATTTTTTGAGTGCTTCCGGTTTAAAACAAGAGGGAAGTGAGTTACCTACCGAAGACCGACAGAATGTTCAGGGTAGCTGAATCTGTGTGAAGGGGAACAATGGCGAACTTTTCCCAATCCTTCTGTGTCCCAGACATACATGCAGCCCCGCCCATATCTGCAAACCCCACTCCTGCCTAAAGGCATCTGCCTCACAGTGAAAATGACCAGCACTGCACTCTGCAGCAGTACCAGGCTCTGTGTTATGTTGGAAACAACAGCAATAAGGGTTTCTTTCCAGTTGCATCCTTTTCCTTTAAAGCACCTAAGTCTGCTATGGAAAAAACGGAAGGGGAAGTCTGTTCGAGTGAATACTTACCAAGGTGCACCGTATATCCTGAATCCCTTCACTGTTACCTCCGAGTCTTGTAAGTAAATACTGTTTGTCAGGAGGGACTGAACGTTGTCAAAGTCCTCTGGTTTCAATTTGGACACAGAGGGGAAACGGTAGTAGTCCTGTTTAACAAGGTCTGCCATGAATTCCTTATCAAATGTCAGTTCATGATTCCCAGCAATCACTATTTTATATTCATATGGTAGGTTTCCTGAAATAAGAAAAAAAAAGAGCACCAATTAGCACGTTCATTTCCCATCACGAAGTACAACAGCCGAGACTGCGTGATTAGCAGACGGTATACCCAAATGAACTAGCTCATGCATTCCTTTATATTTCCATGGGAACCACAATTTATGACTACTCCTTTATGCTAACAAAAATGACAATAAACGGGATATGGGAAGCTGCTACGAAGCTAAAATGCTACTAAGAAGACATTAAGTTTTCTGGTTCCATTTCCTTTTTCTATATGCTACAGATTCACTGTGATGAATTCACACTGTGATGAAGCCACACTGTGATGAGTCCAGCAAAAAGCTCCTTAATCACAATCCTTATAGAAGGTCTGGACTTGGTCTGGCACTCAAAAAATAAGCGGATTGCATCGTAAGGCATATAAATATAGAATCAATACATTGTACACCTGAAACTAATATAATATTGTATGTCAACTATACTTTAATAAAAAAAATAAGCCAACCAACTATCTTAACTCAGATAACTGCTAGATTTTTAGTACATCCTTCATACAAAGACATGGCATAGCCAAACATTCCACAATTTACATAAATGACACGAACTATTATACATAGTTCAATTTTATACGGCAAGTTAAAGTTTACCTTTTGGCTTATGAATAAAAAAACCCCAATAATAATGCCTCCCCCCACCACATTAGAAGGCTAACTTTTCACCCATTGGGGATAGGAGAAAAAAGTGTAAAGCTTAACCCCCTTTTAATATTTATGGTATGGAAATGTGAGTTCTCGGTGTGTGCTTTTTATGCAAAAGTTTCCCGATCAAAATGAGATAATTCTGGGAAGAAGAATGAAAGCTATAAAGGAAAACCCAAACACCAGACTTCTGCATAGATTTATAATGTTTGAATAAAGTACAGATCATACATATTAATAACTCACCGTGATGCTATAAGAACCAAAATCCAAAGGGAGATAGTGCCGGGCAGCTGTCCCCATCCTGAAATTAATGCCCTTTTCTATTCATTTTCATTACCCGTCTCTCAAGCCTCACTGCTGGGCTGCTGCTCATTTCATTTTATTTTATTTCATTTTATTTTGAGAGGAAAAAGGGCGGGACAATGGTGTCTGTAATTCCAGCTTCCTGAGAGTCCTGGGTGCAACACAAAATTAATGTTTCCTACCATGCCAGGAAGAATGAAGGCTGCCACTAGCACGAAACTGGATACACTTGTTGTAAGAATCGGTCCTTACCAGCAAGCCAGCGTCAATGATTTTAATTAATGAAGCTTAGTGGGCAACAGAAGTATGTTTTGGGGGGACTGGCAAATTCTGTCATTGGTCCATTTGGATTTTAGCAATGCAAACTAGAGATTACACGGTGAAGTCCACGATCCCAGCAGCACACTGCAAGCATATCTGCTAATAGCGAAATGATTTTTAAGATCACCAGGACATGCATTGTAATGCTGCTGGTTTTTCTTTAACTTGCATTTTAGGTTCCTAGCAGTAATAGAATTGCATATATAGCATGTGGCTTAATGGGGAGGCTGAAGAGAGAGGGAAGCAGTCAGGAAATAACACTGCAGAAAGAAGAGACTGAAAACATGATGTCCAAGTGTCAATGACTATCCATGACGACTAGCCCACAATGCTGTGTGACATGTCTTTGGCCTCAGTTATTTGCAAGGTGAACAGCTCACGGAAAATAGGAAGCCTCTCTCAAATATTAATACATGTTTATGTAAGTTTATAATCTGCATTAGCAGAAGGCAACAAGGAGTGTGATGTATATTGCAGGCTACTTGGATAGAATGACGATATTTTGCACAACTCCCTGCACTTAAAATACAGATGAAAGGTATATTAAATAAGCTGCAAATTCCCAGCACTGCACACTCTGGCAATTTGTGAGATGCCCCACAACTCTACTACCATGGCTCTGTGACCCAATTGACCTAAGAGCACACCCCCAGGTTCACCCGTGCTCCCAAGGCCAGAACAAGGCTGAAGTGTTTTCCTGGACAGTAATTTGCTCCAAGGCAGGTCCTACCAGCATGAATCTTTGAGCAACTCTATTTATATAAGTCACGCTGCAGCTGCCCGGTTCCCCTTCAATCACTCACGATGATGGACTCACTGTAAACCCTTTCTTTATGCACCACTGCTCTTTGCAAGAGGACTTGGCTTCTTGCTTTCTCCATGTTAGAGCTTTGGTTCAGAGATGGCATGCGTGAGACTGGGAAGCAAGGCAGAGGATGTACATTTTTCCCCTTCAGACCAGTTTTTCTTTTTTTTTTTCTTTTTTTTTTAATGTAAAACGGCTGCAAAGTAAATCTTCTTCAGGAAGACAGAACTCTTTGGTGTCTTTTAAATCAAATTTGGAGACTCGGCATAAAGAAGTAGCCACCAAAATGAAGAGCTGCAGAAACAGTAATGATATTTACACATTGCCCACAAACCCATGTCTTTCTGAGAATCCAATAGCAGTTTCCAACTTCCATTCTCTGTTACCTATGTTATAAGATTGTCTGACATATTTTCTTTTTTGCTGAACTGACCTTTCATCTATAATCTGTCAACCTTTATGTTTTATATGAAAAGTGTAAGCAGGGTAGCTGACACATCTCCTGTTACTTGATGGCATTTTAGTTTTTTTTCCAGACTAGATTAATTTGGAAGGCTCTGCAGTGAAGCTCCAAACTTCTTAGTATTTAAATAGCACCATTTTAACACTGTCAAAGAGGTGCTTTCTTTTATCCATTTTATTCAGATGAACCCATAAAAGCTGACTTGCCTGAATAAAAAAGAAAAAAAAATCAAGGCCACATACAGTTATTCTAATATGAAAAATTTTTTGCTTTGAACGACCTAAAGAACTCGATCAAATAACCAGTTCCATCTTTCCCAAGAGATGATATATGTTCTACCAGTGATATACAAGATTGTTTTAGGTGGAGTGGAGATGAGGTTTTGGCAAAATGTCAAATAGTGTATGTTTTAAAAATATATATTTGGAAAAATACAACATAACAGTGCAAGTAATGATACCAGGGGTGCCAAAAAAATATATACACATGACTTGTATTCATCTTTTGTTATCAGTTTGTATTATTAAAATTTTAATACAGTTTTTTTTCTTAAAATGTGTGTACATTTTTTGGCACCCTCTGTATATAGCTTGTTTTCCATTTTTCATTTATGTGTATATATACATATATATGTATACATATATACATGTATATGTGTATATTATATATATATATACATAATATGAGATGATTTAAAGAAAAATATTGAGCAAATAATAGTACAGATCATTCACAGATATGTCAAAGTGATGACTGTAGCAAGTGAATGAATAAAATGTGGGAAACTAGCCCATCAGCTCAGGTTAGAGCTATAGAACATAAGGTCTTAGAGGCAACAATTAAGTATTACTCTAATCTGTATCTTCTACTGTATCTGTATTGCCTAGTGGTGTCACGTCAATAGATACTCACTGAAAAATGAAAGTCAGCTGGGACTTCACTGCTACTCGACAGTTTTAATCATCCCACACTCTTGCCATTGCCTATTCTCTAAGCAGCCATCACAAAACTTTTCCAGGTTCTTCCCTAGCTCCCATGTTCCTTTTGATTCCCCACTTGGCATACAATGTGTCCTCTAATCTCAAGGTAACCTCTCTTCACTCCCTCCTGTTCACTTTCTATCACTCCATCTGTTTGCATCTGCTCATCTTTCTAATAATTGGCCTCTTATTCCCATTCCTCTCATTCCCACTGGCATTTTCCTTTCTCAGACATCGCTCCGATATTTTGAGTCTCTCTCTCTCTCTCTCTCTCTCTCTCTCTCTCTCTCTCTCTCTCTCTCTCTCAGCTTCTTCCTTAGTGAGTTTATGTTTACCTATCCCAAGAAAACAAAATCAAGCTGCCCTTCATTCATACACACACACACACACACACACACACCTCACATACAATCGTAAAACATCCCTAACTTTGCTTCTTCTTTGAGGTGCTTCCTCATTTCACAAAGAGGATTCCAGAAGCTTGCAGCTGGTAGGTCAAAGTCAGCCCACAGATACAGTATAGTTAGCCCTCAAATGTGTTTTATTTTTTTTTAATTGAACTAACATTTAGAAATCAGGAGACATCACACAAAAAAAGCTCTTGGTTTCTAGCTTCTTTTAAAAAATCAAAAGATTAGGCAATACTGACCTCCAGTGTGCTACAGACCTCCCCACTCCCTATTACTTCTCATACCTGACCTACTTCCCATATTTGTGTTGCCTGATGGGCCACTCTAGTAATAGTATTAGCAACTTAGAGACAAATGGTTGCTCAGAATTCACCCTATGCAACCTGGCTTCTGTTTCTATTCCCTTCCAAAAGCTTCCCTGGAATATCAGTTATAATCTCCTCATAGCCAAAGCCAGAACTTTTTTTTTTTTAAGATTTTATTGGGGAATTGGAGGGGAACAGCACTGGGAAATCAGGGAAGGGGAACAGACAAGTTGCTGTCCTTTTGTTCTTCAGTCTAGTTGTGCAGGACGTTGCCTCACTGGCCCATGTTGGTATTATCATTGCGCTCTTCCCGGGTGAGGCAGATTGGTCGCCAGTCACTGGACGGCCACTCATGGCGGCCCTTGGCAGCTCACACCGGCTGCCGGGCGCTCACACTAGCTGCTGGCCATACATGGTAGCTTATGGCAGCCCACTGCAGTAGGGGCTGCAGCCTACACCGTCGCCGGCGACTCATGGCAGCCCAGCTCCAGGTTGAGCTGTTGTTTACCATCTTAGCTGTAGAGGGCAGTGTCACTGGCCCCCATGTGGGACCCGAACCGGGACCCTGCTGCTCAGAGCTGGCATCCCAAGCCAGCTCTTAACCAACGTGCCACTTGGCCGGCCCCAGAACTTTTTTTCAATTCTCATCTCCACTACTCACACCAGAATGACAGCTCTGTCCTTCGAAGTACATATTCCCTTGATTATTGATACTGTACTCTCCA